GATAGCCAACCAGATATCTGAGTAGACCCAATAGCTCAGGTCCAGGTCTAGCCCGGACCCAGCCCCAGTTGATAAGCCAATCCAGATATCTGAGTAGACCAATAGCTCAGGTCCAGGTCTAGCCCGGACCCAGCCCCAGTTGATAAGCCAAACCAGATATCTGAGTAGACCAATAGCTCAGGTCCAGGTCTAGCCCGGACCCAGCCCCAGTTGATAAGCCAATCCAGATATCTGAGTAGACCTAATAGCTCAGGTCCAGGTCTAGCCCGGACCCAGCCCCAGTTGATAAGCCAATCCAGATATCTATCTGAGTAGACCTAATAGCTCAGGTCCAGGTCTAGCCCGGACCCAGCCCCAGTTGATAAGCCAATCCAGATATCTGAGTAGACCCAATAGCTCAGGTCCAGGTCTAGCCCGGACCCAGCCCCAGTTGATAAGCCAATCCAGATATCTGAGTAGACCTAATAGCTCAGGTCCAGGTCTAGCCGGACCCAGGCCCAGTTGATAAGCCAATCCAGATATCTATCTGAGTAGACCAATAGCTCAGGTCCAGGTCTAGCCCGGACCCAGCCCCAGTTGATAAGCCAATCCAGATATCTGAGTAGACCAATAGCTCAGGTCCAGGTCTAGCCCGGACCCAGCCCCAGTTGATAAGCCAATCCAGATATTATCTGAGTAGACCTAATAGCTCAGGTCCAGGTCTAGCCCGGACCCAGCCCAGTTGATAAGCCAATCCAGATATCTATCTGAGTAGACCAATAGCTCAGGTCCAGGTCTAGCCCGGACCCAGCCCCAGTTGATAAGCCAATCCAGATATCTATCTGAGTAGACCTAATAGCTCAGGTCCAGGTCTAGCCGGACCCAGCCCAGTTGATAAGCCAATCCAGATATCTATCTGAGTAGACCTAATAGCTCAGGTCCAGGTCTAGCCGGACCCAGCCCAGTTGATAAGCCAATCCAGATTATCTGAGTAGACCAATAGCTCAGGTCCAGGTCTAGCCCGGACCCAGCCCCAGTTGATAAGCCAATCCAGATATCTATCTGAGTAGACCTAATAGCTCAGGTCCAGGTCTAGCCGGACCCAGGCCCAGTTGATAAGCCAATCCAGATATTATCTGAGTAGACCTAATAGCTCAGGTCCAGGTCTAGCCGGACCCAGCCCAGTTGATAAGCCAATCCAGATATCTATCTGAGTAGACCAATAGCTCAGGTCCAGGTCTAGCCCGGACCCAGCCCCAGTTGATAAGCCAATCCAGATATCTATCTGAGTAGACCTAATAGCTCAGGTCCAGGTCTAGCCCGGACCCAGCCCCAGTTGATAAGCCAATCCAGATATCTATCTGAGTAGACCTAATAGCTCAGGTCCAGTCTAGTCCGGACCCAGGCCCAGTTGATAAGCCAATCCAGATATCTATCTGAGTAGACCTAATAGCTCAGGTCCAGGTCTAGTCCGGACCCAGGCCCAGTTGATAAGCCAATCCAGATATCTATCTGAGTAGACCTAATAGCTCAGGTCCAGGTCTAGCCCGGACCCAGCCCCAGTTGATAAGCCAATCCAGATATCTGAGTAGACCTAATAGCTCAGGTCCAGGTCTAGCCCGGACCCAGCCCAGTTGATAAGCCAATCCAGATATCTATCTGAGTAGACCTAATAGCTCAGGTCCAGGTCTAGCCGGACCCAGCCCAGTTGATAAGCCAATCCAGATATCTATCTGAGTAGACCCAATAGCTCAGGTCCAGGTCTAGCCCGGACCCAGCCCCAGTTGATAAGCCAATCCAGATATCTATCTGAGTAGACCTAATAGCTCAGGTCAGGTCTAGCCCGGACCCAGCCCCAGTTGATAAGCCAATCCAGATATCTATCTGAGTAGACCAATAGCTCAGGTCCAGGTCTAGCCCGGACCCAGCCCCAGTTGATAAGCCAATCCAGATATCTGAGTAGACCCAATAGCTCAGGTCCAGGTCTAGTCCGGACCCAGGCCCAGTTGATAAGCCAATCCAGATATCTATCTGAGTAGACCTAATAGCTCAGGTCCAGGTCTAGTCCGGACCCAGGCCCAGTTGATAAGCCAATCCAGATATCTATCTGAGTAGACCCAATAGCTCAGGTCCAGGTCTAGCCCGGACCCAGCCCCAGTTGATAAGCCAATCCAGATATCTATCTGAGTAGACCTAATAGCTCAGGTATAGGTCTAGCCCGGACCCAGCCCCAGTTGATAAGCCAATCCAGATATCTATCTGAGTAGACCCAATAGCTCAGGTCCAGGTCTAGCCCGGACCCAGCCCCAGTTGATAAGCCAATCCAGATATCTGAGTAGACCCAATAGCTCAGGTCCAGGTCTAGTCCGGACCCAGGCCCAGTTGATAAGCCAATCCAGATATCTATCTGAGTAGACCTAATAGCTCAGGTCCAGGTCTAGTCCGGACCCAGGCCCAGTTGATAAGCCAATCCAGATATCTGAGTAGACCCAATAGCTCAGGTCCAGGTCTAGCCCGGACCCAGCCCCAGCACAGAAATTCCTATCCCTGCCATGTTGTACTAAAGCATTGAAAGGATGCGTTACAGACAGACAGACAGACGGACAGACAGACAGAACTGGGTAAATATATAAGTTAATCCTTGAGTAGACTCGTAATTGGACTTTTTCATCCGTCTGTCCGATCAATTTGTACATTCCTTCCACCCCACTAGCTCATCCTAAGAAGGAAAAACAATCCAGACTAAGCACATATTTCACCAGTGAGTATCTGCCATCTTCACCAGGCGCCATGGATCCGGTGTCAGCTCCCGAAATCCCCAGAATTTGCGCTTAAATACAGACAATTATTTGCAAACACGGGAAAAGTAGTTTCATGTTGTCCCATACAGGATCATGCCAAACTTATTAAACTATGCACAATGGTTATCACGAGATTTCATGAATTCATGAGTCACAAAATCTACCCAAACTGTAAAATTTTTACTTCCGGTCAGCAAGTAAAAAGAGATATCATATATGCTTTTCGAAAATTTGTTTAAATAAATAGAAAGGTCATCACTTTAATCCCACCGAATTCAAATTGGCCGCCTACACAAAATGGCGGTGGTTCTGCCATTTTTATTTTGTCTTTTATTATTATTACACAATTCATCTAATACTTGTTATGGTACTGGTAAGAATAATGATGATACTTCACGGGCGAGGTCCACAGGTAACTCCATCGTTGCCCTGGAGGTATTCCCCCGCCGTTACCCTGTGGCGGGAATCCCCCGCCGTTTCCTTGCGGCGGGAATCCTCCCCCATTACCCTGCGGCGGTGGGATACCATCGGGTCCCCAATCAGTGTTCCTCTGCCGTTTCACTCGCCCCCCAGCCTCACCTTCAGATAGAATAGTGGCGAAAACGAAGAGGACGATGAGGGCAATACCGCCCTTTTTTGAAAACATCTAAAACCAAAATTCAAGTATAAACAGTCCGATCTCAATTTTCTGTTAAAAATAACATCCCTGCACTCACCATTCTTAAATGTTTCCAAAACTTGATCCACGAAATATTCCTGCCAAATTTACAAAAAGCAGGAGACCAACCGTATTGACGGAATGATTACGCAGAATTAAAACAAAAATCTAACAACCCCCAATTATATAAGTAAACCGTATTAAGCATTTACTTACAACGGATATCAACCCATCATTTCCGTTAGCGGTTTCCTCTTTGTGTCCTCTTTACTTATTGCTTATTTAATTGACACAATTATATAGTTCTGCAAACAAGGATAAAATGAAGAATAAGGAAAAACGTAATAATTTAAAATTTCCCATTACCGTAATTTCTTTGGAATAATTGTAGGCCATCACTAACCTCAAACTTCCTCTCGAATTTTAATCACCAGGTCAACTAACATTCTCCTCAATACGGGAAAATCCAAATAGCTATAATTCCATTTAACCTGGGTCAGTTAAGCAAGACCAAAATTAAGTAATTGAAAAGATGCAGATGTAAAATATAGGCAATTTTTTTAAATAAAATCTAATCCATTATAGTAACACATCCTGCACATTTTAAATTGAATAAAAATAAATACCGGCAAAAATCTGAATTATTTACAATTAAGAATTTCGTCTCAGAAATTTGCATCCTCTGAATTTATTCAACCTCAATCATCATACTCTATCCCTCACTTAACTGGGAATCCTGTCCTCATACCACAGGCGACTAATTATTTTTTATTTCATTAACCACATGGCACGTGTCGTGCTAAACTACCGACCGCGGAAGCCTTCGGGACATAATTCTTCCTATCTACTGGATTTGCTTATAATGGCGATAGTAAAATATTGCTGGCACATTGTCCCCTATCCTTCCGGGGCCACTGTAATACGAAGCAGATCCTGCCAAACATCGCTCAGATTCACGACGTGCCGGTAACGGCAAATGCGGGAAACATACAATTATTCTTTAAATTAAATACTCAAATCCAAATAAATAATTGTGCCACCACTAATAAACTGCATCAAACATTTCCACCGTGTTAAACCCCTCTCACAAATCTTACATTTTTTTAATACTACCCCAACTAAGTAAATAAACTTTCTATCCAAAAACGTATACGGAAAATTATTTTATTTCAACTGCATAAATCCATAATCTCCAAAAAATCCCACAATTTCTTTCCATTATTTATGTAAGTTTCCATAAAAAAATCAGGATTTTCCAATCCTAGCAAGGAAAAACCCATACGCCACCGCCGCAAAAACTGTAGCGGCAATCACAACAGTGTACGTCATATCTTCCCCACTGCGGCGAATCTCCCTCTGGATCCTATCCCGACCTGACGAGATTTTCCGCCAAAAAGTTCCGCGTTTCCAGAAAGGAAGCGTTGCACTGGGCACACTTATTCCCCAGACTGGAAACGTGTCCGGAGCAGACATTGTGCCCATTCTTGCACTGGCTGACCTGCCCAGTGAACATTTCCCGGCAGACGAAGCATTTCAAATAGTAATTCAGCTCCAAAGACGTGGGGACATAAGACATGATTTCTTTCCTAAAAATAAATGCCTCCTTTAAAACTTTGGTGAAACAATACGCGCAATATTCAAACTAATAAATATACTTACGTAAAACTTACCTTGATATATTTCCAGAAAATATGAATACCTCTCAAAATATTTTATTCAGCTGGTATTTTATAAATTCTGGTTACCTCCCGCTAAGTCACTCGTCTTCCTGACAATTGATTAGTTCACCACAAATTAAAATAGTGATAATTTGATAAATTTAACCAGCGAAAAAGTAAATTAAGGTCGGGCGACGGTAGAAACCCCGAGAAATATGTAGGACATAAATCTTTTAAATGTTCCAAAATTATACTAATATGCATTCAAAATATCGAAGAAATCTTACCTTCAAACTCCTAACAAAACTTGTCCAACTATCCCACAAAAAAGTAGAGTATCGCACTCCTCCACAGAAAGGCAGGGAATGAGGGGACTCTAAAAAATCCTAGCGTCCCTTAATGCATCCCGTTGTTCAGCCCCTTTTCCAAGGGTTAAAGACCCTCCTGCATACTTTCACATCGAGCCTCACTTCTATTTTAAGAATCAGCATAAAACTTATACTGCCCTGGTTTGTAAATATATTCTTCCAATTAAGGCACCGAAGGCCAAATCCTCCCACAAATAACCTTAAATACTTTTAAGAAAATCTAACCGGCGCCCAAACACCTTAAATACAACCCCCCTTCCCTTCTTCATTACTTTGTTAAAAATATTTCCCACAAAAGGTTAAGGGTAACCGTTCGAAGCAAAATTTTTAAAGTGGACCTTGTAAATATTCCGCTATCCCTGTAAATACCATTTATACCATGAACCAGTTCCTTCTTTAAGGGAAGCCTTTCCAATAGAGCCATTAAGGAGCGGGGATGTCTAACTTTTGTGGCGACCCTCTACTTTAAATCTCAATGAGGGGACATTATTGTCTACCAACAAAAGAAAAAAATATTTGAGTCCTTTTCTACATATTCCTCGTTTTTTGCAGAATATTCAAATTTTATAAACACGACCTTTCCATCTCCAGCAATACTTTTGTACGTCACTCCAATCCCTAAGCCAGTAAAACCCCAACCAGTATTATTTCACCTCCGACCCCCCCTCCACGTATCACCCATACCACAAAATCATCATTTCACTAGGAATCCAGCCATATTTGCTCAACTAAATTAGATTTATTATGAGGCAGATATCCTGCTAAGCATTAGAGTTGGCAATCTCTTACTCAGAAGGAAAGATGTCAATGATCTATAACTATCATGGGCCGCGGACCGGTGTGGACAATGCTAACATTCCATCCCTCATCAATTTTAACAAGCTCCCCCTGACATTCAAAAATGTTACTTCCACCAATTTTCCAACCCCTTTCCGCAGTATATGCATACCTGTTCACATTCATTCAAATAGTAGGAAATAAATAATGAATAAGTGAATAATTAATTAAATACTTAAATTAATATTGAATGAATATTTCCCCTTTTCGAAATTAATGAGTAGATTTTTTATTCATTCATTTTTTGCCGTATATTTAATACATGGGGTGATGGGAGAATGAGTGAATAAAAATTTTGTGAACACGTATGGGTATATGCATGATATCTTCACATTAATAAGAAAATGTCGCATTAATTTAACCATCGCAGTAATTCCTAACCACATTTATCCTTGGGGTACCTAACCTCTCCAAGATTTCTTGGAAAACAGGAATTAATCTTCACCTCTCAATTTATGAGTGTCACAATAAAGTTGATCGCTGCCTGGGGTGGATGGATTATTAATCTAAATCACAAAATGAGACAAAATGTGCTCCTCCCAGTCTTTGTGGCTGCTCTGGTAAGAACTGGTAAGTTTCTGTACAGAAATTCAGCCTAATTTTGCATCCTTACAGGAAACATGAGTTCTAGGGAAGCAGGTTGGTACTCCCAGCCTGGAAACCCTACACGAAAGTCTTGCTAACTTGGCACTTTTTGTCAACAATGTACGTTTTCAAGTTCCTCAATATCCCTCAGAAAATTTATTTTTCCACTGAACCATAGTTATCAAAATTTATAAGAAACTCAATTTAGATTTTTTTAAAAATCACTAATCACCACAGATTTCCCTTTTCCTAGCTGGCCACCCAACTCGACCGAAGTGGGAGCAGGCATTTAAAGCCGTGGCTACCAAGGTGGCCAGAAGTGCGTCCAACCAGGCTTCGATGTCTACCAAACTGGACAATATTTCAAAGCGCCATTTCGCTTCTACCTATCGAAAGTCAACTAAAAAACTTGGCCACCTCTGTGCACAATTCTACCCTCCAAGTCCAGCAGCTCAAAATCCAAATCATGGCTGACCAAGTCATCCGCAATGTCGATACTTTCCATTTCGACTGCCTCATGGTGTATTCTTCTAGAAATTTGTGGGAAATTTAAATTTACGAAATTAGCTGGATAAGCAAATAGATGCCAAGCTTGACCTTCTGGATACCACATGGGAACAGGAATTTCAAATCATAAATGCCAATTTGGAGAACCATAGCTTACAAAATTCTGAAAATTTAGCCAGACTTTCAACCAACCAGCTCACAATTTCATCCAACCTGGAATCCATTTCTACAATTCTCTTATTAATTGCTAATCTTCCAAGTATTTCAAATCAATGCCCATTCGCCAACCATCATGGTGCTGTTTTTAACGTGGAAAATCTACAGCGAAGGTGGAACTCGATGAACATGACTCAGACTGAACACACCAGGGTCCAAGTTCTGGTAAACACTCTTGTCGAAACAATTGGTAACAAATCCGAAGCAAAAGTTCAGCAGGATTATGTTTGCAGTGAAGTCTGGACTTTTAAGCAATTCTTGCAAAACGTGTCTAATTTTCCTTCGAAATTATTTATTTATTTTTTGTAATAAGAGGAGAGGCTGTAATGTGTCCGTCAACGATTGTAGCGTCAATTTTGATTCCTACCAACTACAAAACATACAATTTAAGGATTTCCAGCTTGATAATAGTTGCATTGATGAACATAAGCCTGTCCATACTATGTAAATAGTTAACAAATTTAAGTTACTCTTAAAATTAGGGAAATTAATTAGCCAAAACATAATACCTACGTCATAAAATATAAATTAGTAAATCTAAGATAATATCCACTAACTTTCTTTCAAATTTTCCCATATCAATACAAAAATTGTCAATTATGCGGCAAAACCGCGGAAATCACTCGCAGTCAGCTGTATATAAATATGTGATCATCAATTACTTAATAAGGAAAACAACAATATAAATAATTATACTATTTAAAAAACAAATTCCAAGCACAAAATTGTACACGCTTCATTTTCGCATCGGCTCATGGTAAATAAAAGAATCACTAGAGGAACACAAAGTACTTGCATTTTTAAATTCACGTAGTCAGAATTTACTTAACCTAACTCCATTAATTAGCCTTCTCATCTTGCCCCACTAATACTGAATTAAGCTAAGCTACCAGAAGTCGTTGACTCACTTAATTTTAGAACGTCAACAGTAAATTAATCTTGTAGTCTACAATATTCTGTATGATGGTAACCATCCAATCCGTCGTCACCGTGCCGAACGACGCACATCTAATACCAATTGGTTTCAGGGAGCGGAACAACCTCCGCTCATACTTTTTGAAACAGGTGCCCTCTAGACATCCCAAGTACCTCAGGGAAACTTCATTTACCTCGGTAGCTTGCGGCAAAACCGTCACAATGAACGTCGACGCTATCACGCTGATAACGGGGAAAGCTAGATAAACAAAAATCGGGACTTTCCCGAACAATCTTATCGTCCCATAGTTCGTCAAGGTAAGAATGCTCATACCAAAAAATACCAGTGGTGGAACCACAAGGTAACAAAGATGCAAGTTGTAAAACCTATTCCAAATTTGAAATTCCTTATAAACCCAAATTCCCTCGACATTTCTGGTTTCATGTTTTTCCATAATTTCCATTATCCTCGTCATGCCCTGAGTAGACCCCTGCAGAAGAATCAGCGCGAAGACCAAAATGCCAGAAACGGCTTTACAAAGCTCCATCGCAAAAAAGAGGTAAATTACAAGTCTCAAATTAAAAGATGCCGCGAAATTTAGTTGATATCCAAGAACATAGGCCATCCAATACATCGCTAAAGGGGTCCAACTCAAGCCATATTGCCATCGCAAGGATCCCTGGGCACCACCAGAACAAGTAGCTTATCGACTGTTTCAGGACAATTTCAAACATCCCGCCAGTCTTCCGATTTACTGTCCTTGGTTCTGCAAGAATACGTAACCATCATTTTTATAATCTCTACAAAAATCCTAACCTAATCTTACCCCTAAACCGGTCCCCTAGATGCTTCACTGGATTAATGATGGCACAGAGCTCCATCGCCTTGAAAGTAATGAGAAAGCTAGTCGGTGTGAAACACGGGATCAGTGCCACGACGCAGAATAAAATGAACAATTTTGCGGCTTCCCAAACGTCTGGGCAGCTGGGGGGATAAGATAGCTTGTAATATAGCATCAAAAGTGCCGCCATGGTGGCAATTGGCATCGAGCTGTGACACATTTTCAGACCACTGTTTCTAAACTTCGTCAACTTGACTAAGGTCAACTCCCTTTTCCTCAAATTAAAAGTGAACGGAAGGATGGACTATCTTCCATAGATGTTCACAAATCTATCAAGGCATTCCCATAGCCCTTGGGAAACTAGGTCAGTACCGAAGGGGGGTGCCAGGGTAGGGGCAGTTCTCATTTGGTGGCTACTTATGGGCGACAATTTGTCGCCGACAATGGCAAATATTTTCTACAGCATCATGGCCAAGGTCTTCTGTGAGAATGATAGATAGTCGGGCAACGGAAATATGTAGGGGAGCCAGCTATAAATAAATTCTTCTTTATAATAACATTTCTCAAGGCCTGTAGAAAAAGTCGATAAAGCTGTTGGATAAAATTTATTAATACAGGATGTCACCATCTTCATTAAATATGTGTGGGCTGACCGTTACTTGAAAAAGTATGGGACTTGCTTATTAAATCATGAATTAGGTATTTATACCTTTCTTGACTATTGCCATATTTTTTCACCGTTAAAAACATTCCAGTAAAATTACATTAATAAATTCTACCCAAGCTCAGAAAACTAAACTAAACAAGCACGTAGATTCCTAAGTAGAAGGAAATTAAACATCCTGTAGTTAATAATATACTTGTTCCAGAATTCTAGCTAATAACTTTAACTCAAAGTGGACGTTTATGTAATTAATGTTCGCTTTTTGCTATATTTATAATGGTTAAAAATATTCCATATATTTTTCTTTATTTCTAACAGGATCACACAGATTACGATGTGGACCAATGTGGGGAGAACTTTCTTTTGGCAGACAGCAGTGCTTGTCCGACTGATTAGGTATTACATACTTATGGTAAATTAACTGCTCTCAATACGTATATGTACATATTTACATATTTACATATTTTACTAATAATAAGTATGTACATATCTCACTGAAGTTATAAACTGATTAGCAAAAGTATATTTCCCAGCAATCTGTACTTTAGCAAATTATGCACATCGTATTATCATCGACTTCTTCATCTTGAATATTAATAGAATGAAATTGTGTAACTGGTAATACAAACACCTATGCATAGTCAATGTACATAAATTCTGTCATTATATACAAAAAAATAAAATAAAAAATTAATAGTCTATATACCATTGAATAAGATGCTGAATTTCAATTTATTTAGTTAATAAAATATATACTCCGTGTAACTTATAACAACTATCTAAGAATTTCTCGTATACAGATTGAACTAAGTATGCCCATAATTTAGTTTGCATGCAAAAAATTTCCCCACATTTACATAACAAACAAAGCGAGCAAATCGGAACGGAGATGTCAAACTTATCCGGGATTTCCAATCGATTGACCGACCTACGCTTACCTATTTCCGGATAACCATGGACACCAATTCCAGGTGTGGAGTTTTCTATGTACTTTCCCTCAGGTAAATATATAAGTACAGCAGCATCTCAATACACATTTATCATGCCCAATCACTTTCCCCTATTGAAATTATACACTTGACAAAATGAGTCCTCCCTGCTGTGTATCAGATTTACAAGTTGGTGTTAAATTCATGGCATTTTTAAAAATGGTAATTACATTACTAGTGGAATAATTAAGTAAATAATAACAAATATTCATATTTTCAGTTCTTCAATGCTTTATTTTTTCTCCTAATTTTGTGTGGAGTTTGTCTCTTTGTTCTACAGTCAAATCGACTAACTTCGGAGAACTACTTACCAAGAAACCTACAATTTTCGACTCACGGTATATCCAGTTTTTACTAATTTCATTATATGTATGCATACTAATCTCTCTTCATCAAACTACAGATAAATTATTGGACTCAAAAGATGTAGAAATGGAATCTAAAACCAGGCAGTTTGGGTTGAAAGCTTGGGCATTGTTGTTCATAATGGTTCTCTTCGACTTCATATTTCATTTTACTTTAGGAGCTTTCTTGATGAAGACGGGAAACAACGTAATTATACACTATTATAATTACAAATATGAGTGTAGTATGTGTAATTACTTGTGTTAAACAATATTTTATATTTCTAGAAGAGACTTGGTTTCTGCAAAATTTGGATTGGATTACAAGGTACACTCGTACTCGTTGAACTTACCATCTGGTTCGTCCTGCACTACATCGAGTTTCTTGGCCACTTCGGAATCTACCAATCTATTCCTATGATGCTATTCTTAATTCTTTCAATCTATGAAGTATGGGTGGTTCGTGGATTTATGGAACAGATCGAGGTTGAAATCACTCAGATCGCTTTTCAGAATTCAATAATTCTCGTTGAAACAGGCGAAAGCTTAGTCTAATCATGTATAAACATGAGAAAATACTTGTTAATGCACTCAAACCACCAGCAGACGGTGGAATTACTATTATAAAGAACCTACTAAACCTATTTAATTTTTGTAACATGTAATATGTATTGCCCGCTAACTTTGATTGACAATAATCAGACAAATAAAGAAACATAAATATATATGCATGTCCTGTGAATTCTGTATGACAAATGTTTACAAACACAAATTAATAATTTGTTAATAATAAAATTTTATCCTAATCTGTTGTAATAAATGTATAATTGATAAATTAATTTTTTCTAATAATTGTTTCTTCAACTAATCACCAGATATCAGCAACTGAATTATTTCTCAGAAATCCATTTCTGACTTTTACATTTATTTGGGTTACTGCGCAAAAAAATTGCCTACATAATTTCTTTCGTCATCACCACAGAAATCGTATATGAAAGGATAACCGATTGATACTTCGTTTTGGTAGAGGATTTTAGAAAATAAAAATTGTGTCCAAACATGGCACAGTAAAATTTAAAAATACCCAAGCTTTTAAGTCTTTTCTTATAATATTTTCTCTTAGAGTCTCTCATAATTTGAAGAGAACAATTCAACTTCCAATGCAGAAGTTTGTCGTCTTCATGGACAGCAATCGGAATTGGTACAAGTACTTTAATTATCACAAGAACAATTAAACTAGCCGGCGGGAAATACAGGTACAACGCAATTGGCATAACAAAATACATTTTGAGGATAACAAAATTAAATGCGACGCTCAAAATTAATCCAGCCCCCATTAGTATACAAATTGCTAAGCTGGTTACATCAGATGTTGTTTGAACAATGATTTGAATACCGTCATGCCTCCTTAAAATGGTTTTCGCCATGACGCCAGTTATTCCAAATTTATGCCCCTGCTTACTCAAGCAAGACGTTGCTTCTAGGAAGACACAACCCCAAATTACAAGCCCTGGAATACAGAGTGAGAGGAATCTGCACATTTGGAGGAACGGAAAGAGTATGCAAAACCTAAGTATCGTTACTGTTACTCGGACCAGGACGACATCTCCCAGACCAAGTACGCCACAAATTATGTATTTGTCGAATTGGTAGAGTGGGTCAATCCTTGAAAATAGAAATGCAGCAGGAAATACAAACGGGTACAAGTTAATTGTCGTGACAATCAAGTTCATCGAGATTCCAAAAATATCCCATTCCTTCGAAATTCTGGCGGATCGCTCTATTCAAAGAGAAACCCAATTTAAATATGGCAAAATTTTTAAAGTAATCAATAGCTTTTTCTATAGTTTTCTGACTTGCTGCCACATCCTTGTTTAGCTTCTTCATTATTGCAAAAACAGGACCAATTATCCTTCCCAAGCTGAGAAACATTATTTCAAAAGTAAAACAGAATCCACTCAGACATCCCAATACGGACGCAGTAACCAAAGTAGAAACAGGAATTTTCACAAATCCGAATATGTGGAAAAGCACTATTATTGTGCAGGGCAGGATAAATATCACGAATATCAAAATCATGGAAACCGTCCAACACAAAAGTCCCCAGGAAAATGGAGTATGCTCGAATTTTTTATCCTCTGGATTCCACTCCATCGGATTCTTCCACATAAATCGGTACGCGGCGTGGGCCCGTTCTAAGGCACGCCACAGTAGGGGTGTAATCGCCATAACTAACTTTTTCACAATTAAAATATTTTTAAACTTTTAATATTAAGGCTCACTTTTAAGGCTCTCACTAGTCTTGCTAGAAATACAGACTGACCAAAATGGAGGAAAATTATCTTACCCGTCTCCATTTACTAGTCCTAGATTTGTACTTCGTGTCCTTATATAGAATTTAAATTATACATGTAGGTAAATAATTCGTGACTAATTAAATTAAACAGACGTACAAAGTTTTAATATTCGAACTACAAGAACCACTTAAAAAATTATTTAGAAGTACATACATAGAACCCCTGAAATACCTGTTGTGCTTACATTAAATAATTCAAATATGAATTAAATACTGATTAGACAACAATATTGATACTCATATTTATCTGACCTATTGTCAATTATCTGTAAAAAAACTTAACCTGTATTTACAAGTTGGAATGTGGTGGAATTAAATTAATTTTTATCTGATGGGCTATGAATTTAGCCATCTATAATTATTTGATGATACGCTACACAGAGGTAAACACAAGACTGTCATTTTATTTAGTTGAAATTATGATCCAGATATATTATTATGAGGTCGATTTCAACCTAAAATTTCAAGTGTTTTTGGCTTTAATCCAAACACATCTAATGCATTTCAGACTTTCATTTCAAGTTTCAGCAATAGCTCCACATACGCTATTCACTTATTTATTAACGCCTATTTTACGTCAACTTAGATTAACAGGCAAAACATCATCCAAATAAAATGTAATTTAAACTTTTAAACGGAAATTAATTTATTATAAACGCCCAGAAAATACAATAATTATTTAACCCGTTTAAAATATTTTAACAATTCCCTCCTTCCAAATATTTTGTACGAACTATTAGGAACTATACATTTTATATTCCACCTGTAACCTCCCCAACCTCAATTGCCACTCCGACCGTCAGCTTCACGAACTCTGCGATCTGTTCGAAACTCACTTTATCCGAGGTATCTTCGATCGTGTGCATACTCGGATGAATTGGATATTCTGACGGAGACGCTGCCGGGAAGCCGTGCCGTGTGAAGGAGGCGTGGTCTGAGCAGTCATACCCGCACTGATGGTTAATCCAGGGGATAGCGCAGTACTTTTCGATCACTAGGCGTAGGAGGCCCGTTAAAGCGGGTGACGTGTTGTCGGTCAGAAGTCCAATCTGAGTTGCGCCTGCGCGATATCCGACCACATCATAGTTCACCATTGCCACGATCTTGACTCCCTGAGTATAATAAGCCTCCGCAATATCGCCCGACCCTCTCAATCCGACCTCCTCGGCAGCATACCACTGAAACTCGATCGACCTCTTCGGCACGATCTTCGACTCAATCAGCACCCTCAAAGATTCAAACAAGGTCACACTCCCGCTCCCATTGTCATCTGACCCTGGCGCGATTCCTTCGGTCGGATCGTCCCTGTTTATCGAATCAAAGTGCGCGCCAAAAATTACGACTTCTTCTTTAAGCAATGGATCAGAGCCTTCGTAATAAAAATACGTTCGGAATTAAGCTTTGTCAGGATTCTAGTTTAGGCGCCGAATTTAAATATAGTCGACTTACCCTCAATCCTGGCAATTATGCTATTTTGCGGCCAGCTGTGACTGAACTTTGTAACCGTAATTCGTCCCCCGTACTCCTTATCGGTGGCTGCAACCTTCACAATCATCTCCAGCCAGTCCGCGGCATCCACGCCATTCTGGCTGTTGAAGTATCGGTTAGGAAAATTGTCGAAACGATCCACAAACGTTACCATTCGATCAATGTTCACATTTTTGATCGCATTCAGCACAACATCCACAAATCTCAAATTCCCCGGAATCACTAAAAAAATTACAGAAGAGTTCATTACAAATTTGTCATATTTTTTTAAATTTCTGATTTCCTACCAGCTTCAGAAACTATGCTTCTATTAACACCATTTGGAAATTTACTGCTCGTCACATCCACAAAATTCACGTTATTTTTAATCAACCCAAAAATCTCATCTTCCCCTAGCCAAGATCCCTCATCTGATACGCTCATTTTAATGAGACGCTTCCCATCTTGCCCCTCAATTATCGATGGTCTCGCCACTACTGACCCCACCAACACCACAAATACGATAAACACTTGCATTTTTCCTCTTAAAAATCTGACCCTCCTACCCTACCAGAGTAAAAATACTGCAAATCCTCACCTCAACTTCAATCAATTTATTGACTCGTCTCGCCAGCCTACGTGACATTTACCCAGTGACGAAACCTCCTGCGTAGATTACACATTGTCAATCAAACCATTTCGATCGATATCCCAATTTCTGACAAACGACTATTGCGTCAGGTAATCCCCGTCACCACTGATAACTCCTTATCATCCCATCCTGTCCAAAATTTCACGTTCATAAATTAAACTATATCTGCGACACTCCGTTTATACGTGATTGCACAACGAGTTCAATTTCTGGTTAAGAATAATTGCGTAATCGCTATCAAACTTGGGTTTACCTAATAACTTATCTGTAGATATTTAGTTACGCAATATCCATCATAATAATTGATGGACATTCTTGCAAATTAAACCTGTAAAATTTCCCTTCATACATAAATTCCATACCTCTTTTTATTTAGTTCGATCCTTATATTTGCCCCTGGGCAAAACTTAATTAAGCAAAACAAAAGACCGTCTTTGTCCACACCCATGAAATTTAATAGAAACAGAGATCCCTTTTTTCATACAGCTAAAATTTTGGCGTCCAATTTCCCATGAGAAAAGAAATGGCAAGGTTTCCCCTGACACACGTGTAAATATTTATAAAGCTCTCCTAAAATCTCGCATGTTTATAAACATTCCCACTTTTCCTAGCTACAATTATCCGCGTAGTATTTTTGTTGGCGAATTTAATAAAAATCCTGACATCCATACCACATTTAGTATGTCCTCGTAAATAATTACGTACTAAGAAACAGCGATAAAAAATCAGGTCAAGTTTAATTTTCTATAACAATATGTACCAAATGTGTCCCTCCACACATAATTACCTTCTCATTGAATCCTAGAAATTCCACGTGTTAGACCAGCCTAGTACGGAGATGTGGGCCAGGGTCAGGCAATACTGGGAAGGAGGCGGATGTCCAGCCAGAGATACAAAAGTCTCAACTTCCTGCCTCTGCTCGGCAGTCTTGGTCCAGCTTATCCCACATCCGCCCCACAATTCCTTACTCTTCAGCTGGAAATTACCTAAAAGTTTGTAAATGCAAGATTTATGTTCAAATTTTATTCATTTGCCGCCACAAATTTGGCTAGTTTTAGAATCTGAACCGATATTTTACATAAAGGAAAAAATTTTGTAAAGTTTCGCAAATTACAAGATTTGCGATATCGCTAAAATACTTCACATATTTCTCAAAATAAAATTTATTTTTCCATATTCACTAACAATTTCTAAAATCTAAATTGCATTTTTATCTTTTTGCACAGATTTGGCCAAACGATGTCCCGTGTACGGAACAAATTCGGCCTGGACCTAGTCCTGATCTTATTTCTCCTCTGGACCACAAATAATGCGGATCTTACGTATCGGCGCCGCTTCAATTTGAAACACTTGACAACCGCAAAGTGCCTCGTGGGACACCGTGGCGCCACTTTTATAGACTTCTGCGACACTACAGGTGATATTTGACCATAATTTTGAATGTAATCAATTCTGAAACACCAAAAAAACCAAAGATTACTTATGCAGAATTTAAATATTCGCTGTTAATCAATTAAATTAAATATATTTTTGTACAAATTTTGCAACACAAGACCTGATAAGGGGTATTTAGCCCGTAAATACTAATCCAGTTAGATTTGACCCGAAATTAAATAACCAACTCTCCAATTCCCATTACCCGGGAAAGATCCTCTCATTTAAATTTAACTATCCCGCCAAACTTCTTTCCGCCGTTATTCAAATTACCCTCCTTTTAAAAAGAAGGTTGCTACCCTGACCACTAAAATCATTAACAATTCCCTCACCACTATTAAAATATTTAATTTTTCACAATTAAATCTAATTAACGCTCCTCTCCCCCAGACAAATTTCAAGAATGGGTCACCCTCGGCCCCCAATGGGGTGGGACGATCCGCCCCTTCCTCAGCCAAGAAATGTGTCTCGCATCACCCCCCGAAGGCTCAGGATTCTACACTCATCTCCAAAACTGCTCCCAAAAACAATGCCTCTCCAGCTTCAAGTGGACCATCACCCTCGACCCGCGCCCCTCCCCGGCCCCCAGTCTCAGCAAGGTCGTCGTCTGGAACAACGACCTTGAGCGCTGCCTCCAACCCAGCGGCGGGTATGGCGACCGCGTCAAAACGGGGCCTTGTCCGAAACACGACGGCTGGGTGCGGATCGACCGTGGCACGAGTGACTCCTTCTTCTGGGAAGTCGCCCTTATCAAGGAGACCGTCTAATTTGGTCACAACCAGAAATTAATTAGGATCCTAATTTAGAACTAATGATTAAATACTTACCTCAAATAATTAAGGTACATTATAATTCCGCAATTTCAATAATTAAAAGTATTCTACCTCAAACTCTAAATATTTCTAGGGAAGCATAGACAATGATTTTCAATACTAAATATTTACAACATAAATAAAGCCGTAATTAATTATGAATCTAACAATTCTTCATTTTTCGAATTTTAAAGCCAAAATATATGCGCATCTCACATTTTACTCAAGTATTACCCTACCTGCCTAGATTTCGAGGCCACGTATCCCGAACATCTAGATCGATACAAGGACCACCCCGGCCGAGACGGGATGACTCAACATCACGCGCGGCTGGATGGACGGACATGCTTACTGGATGCTCCTCTGCGAGATCCAGCTGGACGACATTGACTTTCGGTATGGAGGAGCTTTTCGATATTGAGGCAAAACTTCCCCCCACAGACTGGTTTTATCAATAAACAGTTCCAGACTTCAAAAATTAAATTTGTAGCATAATATGTCAAATTTTATTTACAGTAATAAGTATTGGCGCCACATATTCAATTTTTCCCGCTCCACCTCAAAATCTAGTCCCCATAATGTTACAGATATACATACATTCTCACAATAAAAGCCAATCCTGACATCAATTACTAAACTTGTAAACATTTATATGTGCATTTTTTACATACTTCTTCTACCTTTAAATTGTATTATATCAATTTTTTTATTTTTCACACAACTAATTCATCAAACCTGCCCTTCAAGATTTTATTCCCGCCTAGAACAACAGAAGCAACCTCACCAAACTCTTAATCCCAAAACACGTCATTACAAACGGAGTCAAAATTTCTACAAAGTTGCTCCCGAACCGGATCTTCATCGGTCGACTGCCACTAATCATGCGTCTCAGATACCGCGAATCTTTCCTTAGCCCGCCATTCTGCACGATCACGTCGAACAGGGCGCACTTCATCTTCACCACGATCTGCTTCGATGCCTTATTGATCAGACCGGCTGTCGTTCCGAGACCGAGGATTACCAGGAATGACTCCCACGCAAGCACCGGCCAGAGAAAGTTGCCCAGATTTTCAAAAAAGTTCGCGCTCAACCTCAACGTTAGATACGTTCCCAAGATCTTAACAGAGATCGTGTACGTCAAAATGGCGGGAAGGACGATCTGGCGGAAACACAGGTTGAACTGGCCAACCTGGATGGACAGCTGGTCATACAGGTTTAGTGCGATGGTTAGGCTCTCCGTGGATTTGGACCCTTTGAAGATCACTGACCTAAGGGAGGGTCAGGGGTCAAATATATTTAGAGCGTCATAAACTTAAGTTTCAAAATTTGAGATTAGTATTCTAATTAGGCTTTTCACTGAACAATAATTTGCATCGCATGACATGGTTTACTTGAATAATGTCGAGAGCATTATAGACCACACCCACCTGGGGGTGTGGCTTTCGTTGTTCGTGGTAACCATCGGGATGGCCTTTCTCTCCCGAGAAATAATTCAGGTCTCATGACATGGTTTACTTGATAATAAAAAAAAGCGCTGAAAACCGCACCCACCTGGGGGTGTGGTTATTTATTTTTTGAGGTCGTCATCGGGATGGCCTTTGCTCACTGAAAAAATTTTTGTGTCGCATGTCATATATACCTAAAACAGCATAAAAGTCGCTGCAAGCCACACCCTCGACCACCCCCATTGGGTTCATAAACTCCGGACACTTTAGCGATCACATCAGAATTGAAAATTTTGCAAAGAATTCAGTTATTTAATAAATCAAATAAATTAGTCCATTTTCTGACCTTGTGACCTAGATTATAGGTCAATTAGGTCAAAATTTCAAAGATTTGGAATATATTTCGGTGACCACCACGGTGATTTTCGTGTACTGTCATGGTCGCCATGATGAGCTGAGAAAAATGATATGTGGCATTCCGTACTTTGGACAAATCATTACGAAAGCGCCATGCACCACACCCACTGGGGGTGTGGTATTCAAAATACTTGAACCCCAGATACCCTGTCCTTTTCGCCTAGAGTAGCTGAGAAAAATGATATGTCACAAGCTATGTTTCGGATAAAGCATGACAAAGCGCTACCGACCACACCCACTGGGGGGTGTGGTTTTCAAGTTACCCAAACCTATGATATTCGGTCGAATTCTGCTTGCTGAGCTGAGAATAATGATATGTCGCAAGTCATGCTTTTTATAAAGCATTACGAAAGCGCCGTGGACCACACCCACTGGGGGTGTGACCACTTATCAATAAATTCAGGCAGCACACAGAGCAATATGACGTCCAGACTGAGTTTGAATTCATAAGAGATGACGTGCGATATTAATATTTATGTAATTTAATATTTGCCCCTCCCCCTGACCACCCCCATTGTGACCTTTAATAATAATTTATTTACCAATTGACCGATAAAGACGGCCTAAGGACCCATTGATAAGAAGTAGTAGAATATGCAAACGAATATCGTAATTTTATCATATAAATTAGTTGAGAAACAAGGACATTTTCTGACCTTGTGACCCTGATTATAGGTAGGTGTGGTCGAAATTTCAAAATCTGGCAATACGTATTTTGACCTGGGGTCAGAGGTTTTCAAAATAGTTCAAATTTTTAAAATAGGTTGGAAAATGAAAAAGTATTTCAGATTTGAAATTTCAATGTTATTAGGCATTACAAGGTCGGCCACATAACCTTTTACCAAGAATTGGCTGTAATTTAAAAATTCATACCATAGTGCTATCGCTTCATGCTTTCTGGTAGAATTTTCCAGGACAATTTTTAGCACCATTTCTTTCACAGATGTATTAGCAACGGATAAAAATCTCTCACGTACTGCCACCAATGATTGAGTAAATTTCGAAGTCCAACCATTTTCAGGTCTCATTCTTGGGATGATCAGATCCGTCAGGGGTATAAATTCCTTGCCTGTAGAAGGATCTTGGCCAATCTCCATCGCTACCATGGGAATTTCCCAACGAAGAAGTTCTTCTGTCTCGCGTGGAGTTTGGGGCGGGATCAGGACTGTCATGCATGAATAAATCGCGCCTGATACAAGTTCATCATGAGGAAAAAAGCCCCAAATAGAAGGAAAATCAGGGTGACCAAGTCCACCTTGCGCAAACTTCCGCCAACTTGGCCTAGGAGAATAGATGTTACGGTGATTCCCTTATCCTGCAGGATATTTGCTAAGCCAACCAAGGAGTCTTTCTTAGCCCCACTCCATTCGACCCAACCTAGATAGGCCACCATAGTAACGGCGCTCACTAATAGACACGTCCACGTCTCTCGGTCGAAAGGCGAGGTGAAGGTCGTCATTCTATTCGCAAAGCTTGCTGGGTTGGTAACCGTTATAAAATTGTAGAATTCGAATTGGATTCTGTAAATATAATCCTCAGGATGTGTTGAATATGCCAGAATTGTTAAGGCGATTCCAAAACTCTTAACTTCACGTGACCAGTCTACATGGCTATCTCTATTAACAAGGGTTAAATTATACTTATCCGCCAATGTTACCGTATAACAAAAGGATGGGTCATTTACAAATCCACTATGCTGTACACCACAGGTTGACCTAAGTGTAAGTTCTACGAAGACTAAGGCTTTGTGCATGTCACTATTTTGAGCATCCCAAGCCTGATCCTTGGCAATGTCAGACTCTCCAGTTTCGATAGTATGATGGGATTACACGTTAAGCAAGGTATTGAGACGGGTAAAGTGAGACTTTCCTCATATACGACAAACTTTGCGCTACCTAACCACTTATAAAAATGTTTGAAACAGGTTGACACACGGGTTTGTACGAAAACGTAATCTTGTCGAAGTAGCCTGTCAGCAACAAGTAATAAGTATTCACATTTCAGTTTACCATATGCATTAAAATATCCGGTGGATAGTGTAGGGAAGAAAATTGCTTTTGATCTGGCAGCTTTTTGATTGACGCGATATTCAAACGGGGTCCATGAGGTGCCATACGTCAATCGAAATGCAGAATTCGTCTGGCACAGGCCAACGTGTCGGAGTGGGGTGTACGAATTCTTCAACCTAAGATAATTAAAATAGGGGAAGTCAGCGTCCACATCTAACCGCGTGAAACATTCAGGAGTAAATATGAACATCAAATCGGAATCGTCAAATAGGCCGTCGGGAACTATAGAACATTCAGAAAAGTTGAAAGAAACGGAGACCCAGGTGAAGAGGAACAAAATCCGTGAGATAGAACGCATTTCAAGAGAAAGTGGTTTTTCGAAGTTTTAAGCCAGATACAAGGTATTTAGACGATTGCAAACTTATACTAAAACTTCTACAAATATTACAGACAACTAACGTCTGCCCCTAATTTTGGAATAGCTTATAAAGTTTTCCGGTATTCCTCACAAACACAACTGAATTATTTAGTAACTTATGTGTTTTTCTATTTTTTCTATCCACGTTCACGAGCTGGATGTGTATATGAAAGGTATAGTATGTCAGCAGACACTCCAATGTTAAATAAAAATGCTCGTGTGGCGAAACCTTACAAGATAGAAAGATAAGGTAAAAGAACTTTATGACCGTCTCCCAAATATAGGTATAGGGCACGCATACCGTTTTTCGAAATTTTGAAACGTTTTTGAAATATGCACCAATACGTTTTGTTTAACAAAAAATTACTAAATTGTACCGTAAATGATTTGGGTGTATAATAGAGAAAAACGAGCGACAGGGTTATATCCACAGGTGGAATAGCTACAAATTTTGGTCGAATTTTTTTTTCATATAATATCTCCATGAGGCGCGAAAATTCAAAATGTCGATATTCGGGTCGTTTCATTCTGACAGGGGTATCATGAACAAAATTGACTTTTTGAAGATATTGCAGCTAGATTATTATTCCTGAGAGCTATGTGGTATTTCCTCTCATAAACCATTTTTCGAAATACAGCTTGTGTTTGGCGCTAGGTTCAAAGCTTTGAAAATTTTCGCAATTTCGGTTGCAAATTTCTTACCATACTACAGCCAAGTTGCTACATTCTAGCAACCAGAGCAAAGTGGGACCGTCTTTGGGATGGACCACCTTAGATTTCCCCTATTTACAACTTATTCGAAATCGACCTGGTTTTTAAGCTATGGCGGGATATCTCAAATTCGACTTTTAATAGGCATAATCGTGAGATATAACGTACTTAGTGTTAAAAAATAGTTCTTTTCCGCGGTTTTACCGCATAACTTGTCCTAAGAAGCTGTTAATATTTATCGATGGTATATATTAAGATTTCCATTAGTCTAATGAAAATGCTCTTATACAAGTTTGAAGAGAGTAGACTTCCAACAATTTAAAATAAAGTCCCTTAGGTATGATTTGCACTCTAATATCACTCAGAATCTCACTCAGAATTTCACTAGGGATCAAATTTTTCCAATGTCTTCCGCCACAACGCAATTTCATGTCGATAAGTTCACGAATTAAAGGGATAACGGTGTTTTACAAGAGTTTAAAATGATATTATCGTCGTCCTAATTCTAAAATGAGCTAAGTTCACCCATTTAACAGTTTATTTACGTGCGAGAAATTAGACAGAGAGTGCACTTAGCTCATTTTAAAATTGGAAAAAGAGTGCACTTAGTACATTCTAGGATTGGAAAAGAGTGCACTTAGCACATTTTAGAATTACTACGACGATATGTACATTTGTCAGTTAGCAGTCATAATCTCCCCACGACACACTGGTTACGGATTGTATAATTTGCTTTCCACAACTTGTAGTTCGCAAACAATTCCAAGTTTTCATATTCCGTTTCCAGAAATATATGCACCACATCCGAACGTAGTATAGGCGCTTCAACTGCTCATCTTTACCCCACCCATCAAGAGGGTGTAGTCATTGTTTAACCTTATTTTACTATATATCCTATAAAATTGGGCGTGGTTCGAGGGCCATGGTAGAGTTACGTAACTTCTCCGAAGATTATAACCGTGGAGCCACTTCCCTTGTCAAGGGGTGTGGACAGAAAATCTATAGATAATCGAGTGTCATGAAGATGGTAAAAATCAGTCGAATTTAATACATTGCAAAAAAAGTTGATATATCGAAATTTTAAATTCAGATAGTGGTATGTCGACGATTGTACTCTAATATTTAAACTGCGTTCTAAAAAATATTACTGTATAGTAATGTCGGCTTCTAATTTAGGGACACTTTATGAAATCCTCTTGTATAACTTATTGTCGCAAATGAATAATTTAGTAAATTAAGAGAGTGACTTACGAAACCCCAATGGTGTACTTATTAGGAATTCCATTAGTCAAAGTAATGCTCCACTACTAATAGAAATGGGTTTATACATACGAAACTATCACCACATATGAAACTATGTGAAGTGAAATTGTAAAAATTTTCATCCGGAGATACCCTGTGGGGTCATTCATACTGATTTTTCAAAATCCTCCAATTGACCTGGGTTTGGGGACTGTATGAAAGACCTGTATATTATTTAAAGATGCATGGTTAAAGTCTCATTCTATGCAAATGATCGGTATCAAATTAGCACTGACTCGGGCTATATCAAGTTTGCACTGCAGGTTTTTTACCAGGTGGATAATCCCACTCAAACTTTCCACAATTCTTCAAGTATCCTTAAGGTACAAAGGACCGACATACTCATTCAAACCCACATTTTTCTAAATTCTGACCTCCACACCATGTGGACAAGAGTGTCTCACATACAATCATTTTCCCTTCCGCACCTGCCCATTATTTAAATCGTATTTACTAAATAAAGGACAAAAGAAGGTGGAGGGTGGTTTTCTATGAATTCTAAATTTAAACTTGGCTTTCCTCGATTTGAACTTTCCTGAACCTGTCCATCCAATCCTTGAATCATTACCCTCCTGGGTTTCTTCAAATTAAAAGTCCACTCACTTCTTTAGCTGTCAAGTAGACGCTTTAAAATGTTTGCAAAGTTCTACTCAAAATTTATTCTTATCCTCCTCCTGGGCGATGTGGAATCTCAACTCTTTTTCCACGGCCCTTGCCCAACTCCGGCCCCCCTTCCCAACATCAATATAACGAGGGTAGGCGAAAACGTTAATTCATTCCATTACAAAAGAAGTGTGGTTTAAACCATTTTTTACCGGACAGTGGGAGAAAGTGGGAAGAAAACAACAATTTTTCCCACCCACCAAAATCATAGTCAGCGGCAAATGGGAAAAGTTATTTCCCACATGGATTACATACCTTTAAGTGGCGCGCCATTTTTCCCACTTCCCGATGGGTGGTATAAAATGTCTTTTCCCCACATTTGTCCGGGAAAAATTATTTTTTTACGAGAAATACGCAACACAGTACAAAATTCAAATCACAATAATTAATTTCTCTTCAATTTTCCCAGTACTCCGGAACCTGGTATCTCTTTCAAACCTACACGTCCAGCGTTCCCCTCTTCTTCTCCTGCCAACTCGGCGAATATTTCCCACCAACGCCAAACGGCACTTGGAATGGCGTCACAAGAATGACGGAACGGTTGTAAGTATGCATATTCATGCCACAAAATTCCTCATTGTTTTAAAGAAAATAAATATTACCACAATAAAATAAATCCATTCTATCACAAGAAAGTATCCAGGAAAATGGTGCAAGAAATCCGTAAAATTGTTTTCTATTTACACTTCTTGCACCTCTCACCAAAAAAAACAATTCCCTCTACAAGAAATCCAACACTGATTACATAATTCTCATTTTCAGGACGGGATACATCATTTCAGTTCCGGGCACTGTCCAATTCCTCAGCACGGATGGCTCTGCCGTTTTTACTTCGGATAACCACCTCTACTCTAAACATTTGGAAAACGTTAGACTTAATTCAACCTTGAGTCAAAGAAACTTTACAGGTGCGCCATAAGCTTAAAACCATCTCAAGATTATCTACACAAATTTTGACACAAATTTGTTTTCAGTTAGAATAGATTACATGGTGTTAGCCACGGATTACACTTCCTACGCGGTAGAGTGGACCTGCCATGATTTCGGGATTTCCAACTTCCGTACGTTTCTTTAAAAAAATCAACTCGTGTAGTCTTATTTTTCAGAACGTCTTACTTTCTTTTCTAGAGTTCTTGTGGATATTCTCGCGCGGGGGGACGATTTCTTCTAATACCTTACAGAATATTAGACAAGTTTTGAATCTACAGGGGATTAATACAGCCTGGTTAGAGGATCAGGACTTGAGTGGGTGCCGCTTTGTGTAGCTTGAATTTCAATTTATTCACAATAATTAGATTTATCAATCAAATAAATTGCACCAATATTTGCACAGGAAAACCAAATCTTAGGTGAATTCCTACAACGTTTGTCTTCACACCAATTTCATACAATAAATAGTTCGAGAGTTATCTCGGTGCATATTATTGAACATGGGGTGGGAAATTATAGTTAGGCTTCGCCATCACCATGGCGAATTTTAATGGAATTACTCATGCCTACTTTATCTCACCTAAGAAAAATATATCTTTTATTTTAACATATAGATTTACTGTACAGAAATAACAGTATTTGCTTATAGACAATTTTAAATTACAGGTAAATTTTATTTTGTCACGGATATTAAAACAAAATCCTTCTCAACAATTAACCTTGCAATCCTGTCTCTTGGGACATATCATAATTATAGTGCGTGCTACCATATTTTGCGTTGCATCCTTGGACAATAGATCGTATCTGTCTGTTAGTTAGAGAGAAATATTGATTGATTAATATTGATTGATTAATATTGATAGTTTTCAAAACCAGTCCAACTTGACATCCCAGTGATGACTGCCCCCGTAGGAACAAATCCAAAGTATGTTGCGGCTAAGCCCGTGTATGTCCGTTCTACTCCTCCAACATTGTTACCAGTTACACCGCTGTATATGGAAATTGACGGGGTTGACGTGTCCAAAGGTCCAGAATATCTCAAAGACATTATAGGAGAAAGTGTGGTATTTCCGCAAAGCACACCATTCCGCACACCTGTGTTGAAGGTCACCGAGGAAGTGTAATTTGTAGAACTGAATCCCAGCCACCTTGGATAATATTATAATTAAATATGTTTATGCAGTTAATTTTCGTATCTCATGCCCTTGGAATAAGTTGCACGTTTTGTAAATAGAATTAAATTTTAGTATTTCTGGTATATATTGGAATACGCTACGGTGAATTTAAGTTCGACCTGTGTATTATTTTAAGAAAAAAATTCGGCTTCTACACTTACTCAATTCGAAATTTGATAAACCTACAGCCTAGCCCTTTTGTCGCCCAGTCTGATTATTCTGCATAAGATTACCGTTAAACGTTAATTTTTTGCAAGTTTAGCTTCATTTCTCTACACAAAGCCATTTGACGAGTATGTAGCAAATTTCGTCTAGTTAAGGCAACTTCTCATAATCGGTGTGGCCCACACCGTGTGGGTCATACACTAGGCCAACTGTGATTGATATTTTAGTTTCACTTTACCCTATATTACTAGTAATTATCTGCAAGTCATTAGCAATTGCTAAATACGTATTCTTGATTTAACTTTATATTCCTTAATTTGAAGTCGTCAGTCAACTGTTTCGACCACAATAGGAAAAAATAGAAAAAAACAATGTTTTTTCTTAGGTGAGGCAAAGCCGGAAAGCTGGGCCCCGTTTAAAAAAGCAAATGCGAATATGCTCAAGTGGGGCCCGGCGAAGCCTAAGACTGCATTCCGGGTCAGGGCTTCCCACAGGGTTTCAGCCAAAACGGTGCGTCAAATCAAAAAATGTAAAGAGGCAAAATAATTAGAGAATTCCATTTCTCAGATCCATCTTTCTCCAAAATTTGAAAATTTTATCCGCTATAAATTGAATTTTGAAACTTTCAAACGGCTGATGTCTGATACAAATTTAAGGTTTTAAATTAGCATAATTTCTCAAATTATGCACCAAAATAAGCTCGATTTTTTATACATTACATGTGTAGGGCTAAAAAAATTATTGAGTGCGTGGTGCACCAATTATAAATTTTTTCACAGAAACGTTTATATGTAATTGCATAACAAATACCACAGGGAGAATTCTGCAATTAAAATTTTAGGTTGCATGGTCGAGTGGTGTAAAGTCAAGGTTAACACCATGGAGGCTCCGAGTTCGAATCTCGGTGGGATTAAAATTTTTGCTGATTTTGGTTCAGTTTTATGTCATTATTTTTACGTGAAAAACTTTATATAAACATTAATTAAGGTGGCCCCTTTCTTGGGGGTGTGGCCGACTGGGGAACCAGTTCCTGATGACATTTTAAAAATATTTAGGCATATTTTACTGATAATGATTAAAATCAGTTTAAAGCATATACATTTTTTGTGACCACACCCCCTGGAAGTTTAGTGGACCTTTTCAGTTCAAAACTTTATATTTTTTAAATTAAAAAGATCAAAAAGAAATGATCAAAATTTGCACACTAAAAATCGGTCTTTCTTCTTTCGTCTATAATGAAAATAAAATTTGGTATTGTAAGTAAATGGAATTTTCAAATGCACAAGTAAATTTACCCATAAATTATTTATTTCACATTGCTGTGTAGTCTACATTTTTGCTCTTAAAATGCATTCCAATTTCAGATTGTGGGGCGATGGAGATGGAATTAGTTAATTGACAACATGAAGCTGATATCTTACACGATGGTATCAATAAACTTTGAAACTCGCCAAAATTGAAATAATTGGACCAGAGATATTATCTGGCGTAGGGCTTATGAACTCGTCTTAGTATACTTTCCAACTCTTATGAACCTAATTTTCTGTATTTGCCATTAGTCGAGCATTATGTTTCACTCAAAATATTTCGATAAGAAAATGTTTTCCGTCGGTATCAATATTATGTTCTCTCGTGATGGTAACATTTTTTACCGGATATTAACAATACTATCTGTTAAATTAAAATTTGTTACGTTAATATCGATAACTTTATACGATATCGTAACAAATATTAGGTGGTTGGGGATAAATAAATTATAACCATATTAAAACCAGAAAATAAATACTTTTACAAAAAAAGGATTCTTAGGTTCGGATTCGCGGCGAAAAGTAGAAAACAAGTTCATTGCAGGATTACCACTTTATCTTAATGTTGACTATAATTAGCAATTTCTGCAGTATTTGCTGAACCGCGGGCCAATTCGTTAGCCGAATAATTTTTGGGAGCAATTTTTATTAAAAATTTCAAAAATGCTACAAACTGTAAACATCTGGTGTGTATTCAGTTATAAAAAGGGAACGGTATGGGAGCATTATTTAATACTTCAAAAGAAAAGTGTATATATACAACTTTCTGTTCCTTATTACCAAGTATTAATACAAAGATAATTTGAACATTTTAGGATGGCATATACAAAGTGAACGAATTGGCCCGCGGTTCAGCAAATACTGCAGAAATTGCTAATTATAGTCAACATTAAGATAAAGTGGTTATCCTGCCATAAACTTGTTTTATACTTTTCGCCGCGAATCCGAACCTAAGAATCCTTTTTTTGTAAAAGTATTTATTTGAATATTTCATACCATCCAATAGAGCAGTAGGATTTGACATCCCTCAATAGCTCCGAGTAGTGTGTGAGGTCCGGCTCCTTCGTCCGGAATCTAAACGCATTCCCTCCTGAATTAACTTCCGTGTAAAATGTCAACTCTTGCATAAAACCAACTACGAAGTATATGCAGGTGGCAAAGGAAAATAATCGCAGCAGCAACATTGTCAAATACTTATTCAACTTGTTCTGGGGGTCGACTAATGGATTTAAATTGGGTGTGTTTTATTTTATACGAACTTTCTTTGCGTCATTCAGCCTTCGGTAGAGCAGCTCATTGTATGATCAGATAAACTAGTACCAGGAACCCACTTCATCTGTTCAATTCTGATAATTGACAAAAATTTATATGAAATTTACACTCGACAAATGGCCAGGTTTTCCTAATCGGTTCAAGTAGAGGTGAGATAAAATGTCATTTCAGTAATTGATTTGAGATAACGACTAATTTTTTTAAGGAAAATTACTCCTTTTATCAATTAAACATCATATGACCAGTTCTAAATCATAAAAACTTATCTGGTTTAACATCTGCGTAATTATGAAGCACACTCATACGCGCCAGAGAGGCCTGTCAGTAAATACATACATTTAATTAATTGGATAAATTCTCAGATGACAGCTCGATTACATAGATTGGATTGATTGATGAACTTCTCACTGCTATTTGCCTAATTATATATGATTACTTCTATTGTGGATTTTCAATTTAAATTTTTATATACGGATGGGATGGACACACTTTTTAATTGACCAGGCAAAGCTGTCGACAATTCACAGAAACAAATTATGATATGAATTATAAAACACGGCCAAATGACTGGGAATACCTTATCGATTGATAAATATGTTATAACTTCGTAGAAATTGGAACCAATTTATTTCGCATTAAGTGCACTGCCACAACAAGTAGATACCCTTATCTCTGCACATTCGTGTAGTAATGACAAGATTACTGCTTTTGTAATTAGTCAGGTATAAATGAATCACTTCTGGCTAAACACTTCAGTCGACTTCATAAACACTTTGTCCAAATGCGGCTTAAATACTTATCTTTCTCTCTTTGTTTATCTTTATGGCTGGGTTCCGTACAAGAAAATTGTTTCTACACCGAACATGATGCTGGAGTTTTCTCAATATACATAAAAAACGAGCAAAATTGCACTACAATTAATTATAAAATCTGCAAGAAAATATTTTCTCGATTTAACTTTAGGATGGACATTAGTACATAGTAGATGAAAAATATGGCAAAAATCTCGACGCATTAATAGTGATCGTGTATGATATGTTGCTCGTGAGAAGTATAAATATCTGAGAAATTACCAATACATGCATATGTTTGGTGCAGCAGGAATTTATTAACACTTTAAATATTCCACTAACTGGAATCGAATTTCCAAGTTGCAAACGTTTTTATTTCCATTATTGGGACAAAGTAGACACATATTTACATAAAAACCAAATTTCATCTCTTATGAATGTTGCATTTATTGATAGTAATTAATACAGGCGTCCGTACTTAGATTCCTATCGTTAGCGTTATTTATCTAATCTCCTGTTGATTTGTAGACATAAATAATCACTGTATTTAAATATTTTTCTAAAAATAAGGATAAAATTGAGTATGCGGGAAAATATATACTTAAATTAAAGACTTCACATAAGAACTTTATTTGACAATTGCAAAAGCTATGTCAACAGCCATTCTCCATTTAATATATCCAAGCAGTTTTATGATGGTTCTCATTTTATGCTGGTTTCGAGTCACTACGAACAATCTAAGCAAAAAATGGCTTCACTTTCATTTTAAATAAATGTAACAAAACTTAAATTAAATAGCAAAAGTCTTTGTTAGGTTAGGTTACCACATCTAAATCTTGCTCAATTTTAATTTCGTCCCGAATCAAGTTATCACCGGCGTCTCATCGACTTTCATTATCTAAATTAAATCTTAATTATTATTAAATGTCATAACACAAAAACCAAATTAAATAATCTAACCAACCCATCACTTTGAGCATAATTGATCTCAACTTCCTAATCTCATCGCCTCCTCCAGATGTCGAATTTGACATCATTTCCCAAATTTGAGTCACTTTCTCCCCAATTTTCACCCCAATTTCAGTCCGGATTTCCATCTCGCTAATCATCGGGGCACAAGCGGGACAAAGGGCACACCTCGCATCCTCTCCAAATTCTCCCGTGATAATTCCCTGACGAGAAATGGCATATCTGGCATATATCGAGCCGGTGGATTCCAGTTTCTCAAAAATGTATGGAAAACTGATAATGAAATCCAACCCTACTTCCTTTAGCCGATTAAAGAAATTAACGTTCCATGAAAATCTTCGGTTTCCATTTATTCAGACTCGTCATTAAAGATTTCATTTAAAAATACATACTAAACACATATTTAATTATTAAATAGCATTCCTTCAACTAGCGATCAGGATGCTGCTGTTATCCCCTCCACCAGACACCGACCTTCAAGGAAGGAAGCGAACTTTGACATTCCTCGGATCACACCTGGATTGAAATTTTCCCCTCTTCAACAAGGATTTTTATTGACCGGCAGCCACACCCCACATTTGCGTGCGTCTTCCTTCCCACAATTCTGCCCGAGACACTCTAACAAACTTATTAATCACGACAACATCTCAGGCCTTTAAAGCTACGCTACTTGGTAAATTTAATCTGTACACTTTCCTAATGAAATGTAAACAGAAGACGACCAATAATCAGTGAAGTCTAGCGGAATTGACTATCCTTTTTTTCCAGCGAAACGAGTCTGTCAAGCCGACCGTGCTCACGGCCTCTGTTGTGGTTTGCATGGCATACAAGAGTTTCTGAAATTGGATACTGATCCTCCGATTGGATAATGTGGAGTTTGTGGTGTTGGGAAATGTAGGGATTTTATAAACAGCACGGCGGAGGTAGCTCGTATGGTAGAATAATTGGAGAATGACGTTCAAATAGCAGGTGGCACCCTGTACAATAAATTTCATGAGACTGGATCAACAGAGAAATCTTGGGTGTTAGAAATAAAACTAAAAATTTAAAGTATGGGATTATGTTGGGTTTTATATCCTGATAATTATGCAGCTATATAAATCTGACCTGATTAACCAAACCGACGTAGGTGGGATCATCCTCAATTTTTTCGGGTTGGACTATCTCCTCGGAAATATTAACTTTGCGGGTTGAACAAGCGAGTAAAAATAGTGGTAGAGATAGAAAACTTATTACGAAAAGTATGGGATTCTTGATAATTATCACCATTATGGTCTTTCTTAAAATTAATATTTATTCTACTGATGACTGACGTGATGCGACTCAGATGTCTTTATGCACTCGGCACGAAGGTGATTTTGGGTTGCGAAAGTCGGCTTGCTGATGGAATGGATGCTAATTAAATCTTAGAAATATAAGTAATGTTTGCTTTACAAAGTACGAAGACAAGTGAGGGAAAAGACAAATTGATAGAACGAGTCCACAAGTTGCAGTGTATAGGCAAAAGAAACATATTTTTGGTGAGGTCGTTCT